AGTGCACAATGCCAATTGTAAATTTCTAATATTCAATCGGCCAATATAAACCTTTACTAGTAGTTTCAGTTTGAATTCGGAATTTAAAACTATTTCTAAAATCTATTTTTGTGTATATTGACAAGGTCTTTCTCAAAAGTACAATCCCAATACCCCCAAAATGGAACTAAAATGACAGACTATTAACATATCACTTGTTGGCATATCTTTGATTTTGGTATGTTTTTGGAGGCATTTAGCAAGCAATATACTGTGTTAAACTTAAAACTGCTACAATCTGTTACCCAGGCAACAAGGTACATTTTAGTAACTTAGGAAACAATCAGTTGGATATATTTCCATTGTGATTATATTATATACAAAGCACCGCCTGTGTAAACCCCTGGGTAGGAAGAACCTTTACTTTGATTTACTTTGATTTATTTACTGTATTTTTATTACTTTCTGATTTTTTGTAGTTATTAGACCTTTTAAATTTGTAGTTATTTTTACTTGTATTACTTATATTATATTTTACACTATTTTAACCTTACTGCATCCACAGCAGACAGCAGTTGCGTAATAAACTATTATTATTATAAAGTTTCAGATGTAATTTAAAAAAAAATAGCATAAAAATTAGCCACAAATATGGCCTGAGATTCAGACTGCACCTCCAAATCCGATTCACACCCGGATTTTGCAAGAATCGACCTTTGACCTCCAGAAGTCTACAGCATTACGTGATTGTATTAATAATGGCACTACAAAATTTCTCACAAGAACACAAAAAGCCGCAAACGCAGTTGTTCTGCAGCAATACCACAACACCACACAGATCGTAATGTTGTACCACGCCATGACACTAACCTCTGCACAAACGATTGACATCCACCGATCTCCGTCTACTCGTGTCGCTGTACGTGTATTAGTGGGCTATTTTTGCGTTCGGTCCGGGGTTCGGTCGCCAAGAAGCCATTACTAAATAAACATGTTCCACTGCCCTAAAGACAATCGTCTTCGTCGATACATCGTATCATGATATTTTACCTGAATTAAATTGGTGATCTCCGAGTCAAGGTCTTCATTGATTTAAAAACAGCACACAGTAAACGATGCCTCTGTGTTCAACACGTGACATTTACCGTATTTACTAGTAATTGTAGTCTTCACGCTGATTATATCGGTCAAGCTCCGAACACCAAATCGGTGATGATGTAATAACAGCGGGCAATCCCCCATACTTTCTGGTTTCCACCGACTGATGGCGCTAATGACTGGCCTTCTATGATACTCGAGTTGAGTCGAAGCATATATACAATACAATTTGATACGTCGAAAAAAAAATGCCAACAAACAAGCTGCTCTCTGATTGGCCTGACTTTTAGGTGTTAGCCAATCACACATAATGTTGTAAGAAGCTTCGCATTGGCAAGTAAGACGATACAAACTGTCAAGTTATAATACCACAAGTACATTACACCATGGAGGTATAATACCTATATATATACCTCCATGATTACACCGAGTTGAAACAAACTATCCCCCTGCGAAGAATTCTTTTCTAGGAAGCTCACTACGTAAATGCCTATCGAATTTAGATACACAGCTAAGAAAAAGCTTATCTAAATAATCCTAAATGCAAAAACTTTAAAACAAATTGTATGCAGATTATAATATAATAAAAAAATAAAGTTTACTATATCTGATACAAATGTACAAAAAATCATAGACAATTTGTTGGTGCCTGACCAAAACATCCCGTGTTTTTGAATTATCACAAATAAAACGAAATAAAGAGGTCACTAATGTAACACCCTATTTCTTTGTGAATTGGCTAAGACAATAATTTGTGTATTTTCAATGTGCTATGAAATAGACATAGATTACCAACATTTCTTTCTTTGTAGCAATGCTACGTCGAAATATAATAGTTTATATGATGATTAAAGCGGGGGAGTCGTCACCTGCGCATGCGTCAGGTGGCCATAGCGTGTCATTGTTTACCTTTGCGTTTTTAGCGTGTGTTGTTATCGTCGCTTGACGACCCTCCAACTTTAAAGTGATTTGGAAATCATGCGCATGTGACGACCCGCCCGCTTTAATGTTGAAATGTCCATGTTTCAGAATATTTCCTTGGTATATCTCCACTTCGACATAATTGACCAACATCAGTGTGTAGCACTTTATTAAAGGTGCAAATGCATACACGTTCCAACTCAGAAAAATGCTAGGATACTGGGATGTCCAGGTGGATCAAAATAGCATCTTGAATTTTCAAGGTGAATGTTCCGGCGAAGCATCACCGTGCAGGCGGACGATGCAAAATAGCTGCTCACGATATGACGGATTACGATAACTATATTTGTACATTTTCGATGTATTACATTTTTCACTATGAATGTGGTAATACGTGTTTTATTGATCATTACAAACCGTCTATGTCATGTCAGAAGATTGTAGCATCAATCTCCCTACCTACGAGATGAAACTTGAATGAGACCTTGGCATGATGTCACCATACATTATAATGGTCTGAAATATATGGCTAGCGAGATTAAAACATATTTAAGTAATGAGGATATAGAAGTATGTCTCAAGCAATTCACTTTATTATATGCTGATGATACCACTGTACTGTCTGAATCAGAAACAGAATTGCAATCTGCCATAAATGCTGTTTAAACTTATTGACACGAATGGCATTTAACTGTAAATGCTAATAAAACGAAGGTTGTTATTTTCTCGCGTGGGAGAGTTAAAAAGTTTCCTGCGTTTAAGTTTGGCAATGAAACCATTGAATTAACATTTGATTATATTTATCTTGGTATAAGATTCAGTTATAATAACCAATTCAGGGAAGCAATATGTAAACAGACAAACCAGGCCAGACGTGCCATGTTTAGCTTACTGATGAAGGCAAATAAATTATGTCTACCCATCGACATACAACTAGAATTATTTAATTAGTTAGTCGTTCCGGTGTTATTGTATGGATGTGAAATATGGGGCCATGCAGAACTTTCTCAGATAGAATATTTGTATCTAAAGTTTTGTAAACGGCTTCTCAAAGTACACAAAAATACTGCAAATTGTATGGTATACGGTGAACTTGGGGTATGTACCCTTCGTAAGTTGGTGGAAATTAGAACGATACATTTTTGGAGTAGTATTATACAAAGTAAATCTTGCAAATTATCACATAGAATCTACAATTTATTAAAAATGTTACATGACAGAGATATATACAAATTAGCCTGGATGTTAAAAATTAAAGGTGTTCTGGATGCGGCTGGTATGTCAAATTATTGGCAGATTGGATCAAATGTAAAAAGAACGTGGCTTAAGCAAGCGATAAAACCTAGATTATATATGGAATGCCAATCTGCTAGAAAATGGGTTGTGTACCATTTATAGAATAATCAAAAAGTCATTATCTGTGTCAGATTACATTCTGATACTCGATCCAATACATCGTATTCAATTATGTAAATTTAGATGTGGGAACCACAATTTGCCCATTGTCACAGGTCGCTATCAAAATAAGGCCGTTCATGATAGAATTTGTACCTTATGCCAAGGTAACCACCTTGGTGATGAATTTCACTATATCTTTGAGTGCCTGGCCTTGAGTAAAGAACGGGAGACATTTTTGAAATCATATCATAGAATTAGACCTAACACTTTAAAAACGTATCAGCTATTTAACACATCTAACGAATCGGAGTTTTTAAATCTTTCTAGATTCTGTAAAGATGATAATGAAGCGGTTTTTAATTCAGCCAGGTCATTTCTGACCACCGATTCAGTGCCATGTATGTTTATTTATTTACTTACTTTTTGTAATTTTGGGCTGGTGCCTTATTATGCATTTCTTCTAATTTATAAATTTATTTCATGTGACGCTTCCATGTACATGCTTTTTTCGTTTGTATTATGTAATGTATACTATTTAGTTCTCTCATACCTCTATCGGAGGAAGCAAAGGAAATAAATTATTATTATTTTTATAGTACTATGCGCGTTGCAAACCTCAAGTAATGTACCTCTGGTAGTACTTATATATTGTTCGATGAGTACATGGTTCGTAATGTAAGGCCAGAAAAAAATACTTATGTTGCCCTCAAGTCGTAAAATTGAAAAATTGGGTCGGTCGGTCGGATTTTTTTAAAAACTTAATTTAAAATTTAATAGTTGATCCAGCTTTTGCTGTTATGCACAAAGCAAACGTGTTCGCTACCGCTGTACACATGTACGTACATACAATGACAAACCCGGAAGTGAGAATACTGACAGCGCTAAAACAACGTGCAAATTTCGTCTTTTTGTTTGTGATGTAAGCGGATGAGAGTTTTAATATAAAATGTCACGTTTTGTAAATTTTGGACATTTCATGTATTAAAAATTATATTTACTACAACAAACGTATTGTATTTGATTCAGAATAATGTTTTTATTTAATTAACTTGAAGAAAATACTTGGTGCGGCGATATTTCAAAGGGCCGCGTCACGCCGCGTTCTGTTCGACATGGGACTCATAGCGACGTATACAACGCGTGTAAAATACATTGTTTATTTACATGAAATTCGAACACGCGCTGCGCGACGATCAACGCGCTTTAATATTGTGCACCAACTATCCGTCGAATCGCAAATGTCAAAAAGGCCTGAAATGCAAAGACGTGTTTGCTCTTCAGATAGTGTTCGGAACATGTCAGAGAAATACAGATCAACCCGAGGTTCAAAGTCCCACTTATCCCCCCGGGGACCTTGGGGATCAAACAACGGTCCGGAATCGTTAATTTTTAGAGGAACGCTTTTTTTACTGCTTAAAATGGTGAGTTTTGTTTAAAAAAAAACAAACAAAAAAACGCGACCCAATATTTCATATTTTTCGGTCGGTCGCTGAGGGCAACAAAACAATTTTTTTTTTGGCCTGATGCTCGTATTACCATTATAGCCAAACCAAAACGAAGTTATCATCATATTAGTGTGTAGAGGGCGATGTTGTCAGTGACTCCATTTTGACGACACCGTGCGGTTTGCTTTAAGTGGGTAAATTTTCACTGTCTTTGTCATTAATGTTCGAGTATTCATCCCTCACTAACGTCCGATTTTCAATCGTAAGTATAATGTCAACATTTTTAATCGATAAAGTGGTTATATCGTATTTGAAGTTTTGAAAAATTTTCTGACGGATGAATAAGATATGATCTCCGTGACGTGACCTCGGCTTTGCATCAGTCACCGTGAAGTAGTGCACGCTTTTATCGGTTATTATGTTCATTTCAGAAATAATTATGATCGGTTTACACGCTCTTATACGGTATATAGCATTTCTGTAATGAGTATATAACCAGAGGCACATTACTCCGGGTTTGCAAGTAGCGTGACATGAAACCAAGATCCCGTTTCAATCTCACTCTCGCATAAGCGTTCCCAACTCAGAACAACGCGAATGCGCATGCCCAAGGTAACTAGGATACTGGAAGGTCCGGTTGGATCAAACCAGGTGGATGTTCACGATATGACGGATTAATACGAGAACTGTATTTTCTGTACATTTTCGATGTATTACATTTGTTCACTATGATAGTGGTAAGACATGTTTTATTACAAATCTGAGCATTGATATATGTCATGTCAGAAGTTTGTAGCATCAGTCTCGCTATCTACGAGACTTAAGACTTAAATGGGATCTTGACGTTATGTCATCATACAGAATTATACATGTTGCAAACCCCAATTAATGTACCTCTGATATAACTCATAACAAAGCAAACGCTACTTCACGTGTGACTGTGGCTTTTCAGTTTTTGTAGACGAGGGCAGAGGCCGATGATCTATTCACGTGGTTGGTGACTGAATTGAAGTCAATACATGGACGACTATGGGGCAAAACCAATATGCTCGGATGCAGTACCTTATCGTCGCTCAATATAATGCAAATTATAGAATCGACACAGTTTGATAATGTAATGCAAGCATATCTAATTACATTTATTCATCAACACCTCAAAAACCCCAACTCTCTAAATTGATGTGGTTACCCTAGAAACTATGAATGAATATTTGCCACAAAACAACCTTTTCTATCTCGTCACGCACCGTAATCATTTCAAGTGGATTGATTATGGTATTTCCATTACAAACATTTCAAACATAATCAACATCAGTGATAGTCTTAATGTTATTTGTTATGTCATATAAGCAGTACACTATATGTGTATTATTTTCCATATATTATTTTGTTAGTGTTTTCAATTGCTTATGTTCGTGTATGTGTTAATGTTTGTTCGTTATTGTATGTGTATTAATTGGATTAGGCCACTCAGTTCAGTAATTAACTATTTAATTAACTATTTAAACAAACGTATCCTTCAATGAAATCATTAATTTTTCTCACACAGGTTGTATGGTAAACAATTATTAAAGTAAAAACAAGTATTCTGAATATATTTTTGATGAATATATTTTAGTATTAGTACACTCTCACTTATACCAGACATTCATTAGTTTCAGACATTCTGTATATTTTAGAATTTTAGAAAAATGACAGTCAACATTTGCAGCATAAAATATGTGACAAATTGTTTAATAATACATGATAAATCTAATTGTAGTAACTTATAGTAAAATGGAACTCTTACTCACTCCACGCATTTCACCACACTTAAAACGTAGGTACTCTTAAACCCAAGTATGAAGTATTCTTAAAACAACATTGTTTTACAATTATAAACATGACCTTTAAACTATGCAATTAAAAAAATAGTGTGAAGATGATGTGTTTTTGTCCTGTTCCCGGCAATTCATTGATCAATTACAATTACAAACGTCACATATACAGGTTATGCACAATAAATTGCATATATTAATAGACACAATTTCACGAGTGTATTAAAGAGTGTTATTGGGGGTTAATTATGTCATTGACTTGACGACTTGTGGTATAAAATGTGGTATAAACAATACACAATGATTTGATACTAAATGTCCTGCATGGTTAACAGGCAGCCATATTGGTTTTAGTTTTAGGTCTGCTTTCATCAGAAATGACAGAAAGCAGCATTGTTTATATTGGGGAATGCTCGTTGTAATCTACCAACCTTCAACATAAATGACTTTTCTTGAAAAGCACTTGTCTAATAGCTTGGATTCTTGTTATGTGGGTAGTTCCTGTGGACCTCTGTTAGATTTGTTTCTTTATTGGCGCTATTTCCAATATTCAAAACAAAAAACGTAGGTGATTCTATTTAATCCAAAACAGTTCGTTTTTTAGCTCCGCTGTCGACTTTGTCGAGCGGAGCTTATCATATGAGTGATTGTCCGTCGTCGTCCGTGTCAATGTTTTACTTTTACAACTTCCTCTTGAAAACTACAAGTCTGAATGCTCTGATACTTGGTGTATATGTACCTAGGGTAGACCTCTCTTAGAGTTGTTCATTTCATGATGATATCTTCAATTCTCTAATTTTTGTGAATATTGTTGTCATTTTTGGTAAAAAGTGATATTTTCAACTTCTTGTTAAAAACCACAAGTCCAAATGCTTTGATGTTACATATATAGGTACTACATGTAGACCTCTCTCAGATTTGTTCATTTTGTAATGATATCTTTAATTTTCTAATTTTGGTGAATATTTTTGTAATTTTGGTAAAAAGTGATATTTTCGACTTCTCGTTGAAAACCGCAAGTCCAAATGCTTTGATGTTACATATATAGGTACTACATGTGGACCTCTCTCAGATTTGTTCATTTTGTGATGATATCTTTAATTCTCTAATTTTGGTGAATATTTTTGTAATTTTTGGTAAAAAATGATATTTTTCACTTCTTGTTGAAAACCGCAAGTCTGATTGTTTTGATACTATACATATTGTTCATTTTCTAATAATATCTTCTGTTCTTTAATTGAAATGTGCATTGCTAACAGCGGAGCTATCTCAGCCGAGAGGCTGCTTGTTCAAGCATATAACTTACATAGTTCATCCAACCAAAAGCCACAATCATTTTATTAAAACAGAGCCAGAGTATAGCTAACACACAGGAGTCAGTGTAGTGTACTGACCATATGCGAAATTTCTGAGGTAGCAAAGTTCAAACAACATAAACAAAATATCAATGTTTGATTGTCTTGTACAAATGTACAAAGGCAATCACTTCTACCAAGTCTTCATACTGCTTTAAAAAAAGTATTTGTATGTTTTTTCACAGTTGCGGTAGTACCAGGACAGTGAGCTCAGAATATAAACTGACGAAGTGTTTATCTGTGGTATACTGCCAAGTAGTAATATGCTGAATAGTAGGCTAAAGATGATGGTTTGTGAAAAAAGTAAGAAGAATGTTACTGAGTCAAGTATTTTCAAACAGAATATGCAGACACACACCAATGACAAGCCTTTTCGTTGTGAGAAATGTAAGAAAACCTTCACCTATTCATGTCATCTCAAACGACATATGCGAACACACAGCAATGAGAAGCCTTATCATTGTGAGCAATGTGAAAAGAGTTTTACCCAATCAATTCATCTAAAATATCATATACGAACACATACCAATGAGAAGCCGTATCACTGTGAGCAATGTGAAAAGAGTTATACCACATCAAGTGGTCTCAAATATCATATACGAACACATACCAATGAGAAGCCTTATCATTGTGAACATTGTGAAAAGAGTTTTATCACATCAAGTAATCTCAAATGTCATATACGAACACATACCAATGACAAGCCTTATCATTGTGAGCAATGTGAAAAGAGTTTTACCCAATCAAGTCATCTCAAATATCATATACGAACACATAATAATGAGAAGCCTTATCATTGTGAACAATGTGAAAAGAGTTATACCACATCAGGTAGTCTCAAATATCATATACGAACACATACCAATGAGAAGCCTTATCATTGTGAGCAATGTGAAAAGAGTTTTACCCAATCAAGTAATCTCAAATCTCATATACGAACACATAAGGAGAAGCCTTATCATTGTGAACAATGTGAAAAGAGTTTTACCCAATTAAGTTATTTCAAATATCATATAAGAATACATAACTTGGAAAAACCCAATCAAGAGGAACACTCAGATTTATTCACTTTGCATAGTAGCTTAAACGAGAGAAGCCATCAAAATAAACCTGAAAACTGTTCTTGCATAAATAATGGAAGTTTTACCATGATAGATAATTCAGCAGAGCAGTTTTACTGTCGTCAGTGTGAGTGTATATACAGTCAATTATCTCATGAAAGAAACTCATTAATTATTCATACAGAGAAGAAATATACATATAGGTCGAAATCCATAAATGGTGAAAATAAGTTCACTGTCACATTCAACAGACAAGATGAGAGTTCAAATGTGGAAGAACAGGAACGATTGTTCATTATGCATACTGGGTTCATTGTTGAGAAAAGAATTCACAAACACATAGAAGAATTCAGATTGTACATCCACGGGGTTGATAAGTGCTGAATAAGTTCATTGAAATAATACATTACATTTTGCATGCTGGGTTCAGACAAAGTAGAAGAATTAAGGCTATACTGCTACAGGGTTTAAGTTTTTTGATTAACAAATAGTGTGCGAAGAGAAATGTGAACAAATTACTAATAATTTCTGAAAATGGCTGTCTGTATTTCTTAATGCAATTAATTTAGAGAAATACTGATATATGTTGAGGTATAGTCGTTAGCATGTTTCTCTATCTTTCTAACTATATCTCTATTTGTATGTCAGTTTTTATGTCATTAAACAGGCAACTGGAATATATAATTAACATTTTTGGTATTACCGTAAAATCTGTATTAGAAGCCGCATCCCTAATAGAAGTCGCACCTATTCTTTTTAAACATTTGAGAACCAAAAATTCATTGTTTCTCATATGTGCAGATGCTCTAATAGAAGCCGGGCCTATCTGTTGCATTGTACTATTTTAATAGAAGCCGCAGCTTCTAATACAGATTTTACAGTACTTCAATTTTGTGATCAAATAGGCAATATATTGTTGAAAAAAAGCATCATCGATTTTTGCAACAATGAATAATTTGCACTAAGTTTAAACTAGAATGTTACTCTGGATTATTCAAATTAAAAAAAATAAACACGTCAATGTATATACAACTCCCAACAATTGTTCGTATTTTTCCCCAGGATATAGCTGTATACCTCCACATTGCTGAAATTCCAAGTTATCCGATTCATTTCTCAGAATAGTAGATGTGTATTTAAAATTAGTGGAAGCCTGCATGAATTATCAATATTGTAGACATTATAACCATCAAATAAACAAACATTTTAATAATATTATACAAAGTAAACGTTTCAAAATTGTGCAATTTTTGTGCAACAGCTAGTAGATTTGTCTGTTTTGCTGTAAATATATGTCCATGTGCTAAAACCAAGATCTCCCTATTAATTTTCTTTGAAACATTGGACTACTCCTTGGAAGACGTTTAGCAATCAGTGTTTGGTATGACAATGCATTCAGTAGAAGAAAACTTGTATATCTGAAGTAACTACTATATTAAATTGTACACATATTAATTCATTGTATAAAGTGTAGAATGCATCACACATTTTTGCTCGAATCTGATTTAAAACTGTCACAGCGAATATACAAACTGTCAAGTGTATCTGCAATGACATTTAGAATGGGAATGCAGTTAACAGTTGTAATATGAATATTGATGGCATAATTTCATAATATTCAGCCGTATTTACAACCATAATTTGTATTTTCACCTTCAACAAGCGTGTTATGTTGGTAAAAAAACAAGTGAAAAAATCAATCTACTACACTCTTTGTCCTGTTGGGTTCAACTTCCATTGCAATTTTAAGCATTAATAATCATTTTGAGCTAGCCAAGTCCCAAGGTTTGAAATTTTAGTGCTAAAACAGTTCTTTCTCAATTATTGAAATATGAATACATTGTTCATTTCTGAGCTTAGAGTTTGACCAAGTGCTAAAGTTCAGAATTTCAGATAGTAAAACAGTTCTTTACCAAGTATTGTTGACCAAAGTGGGTTCGAACCATGACCTTCGTATTGGTAGTCATTACCTATAATCCCTACTCTATAGGGGTTTGGTTGTGATATTTATATAAACATAGATGTTTCAAAAATACATCGTTCCGTGATATGCTCGACAATGCACTAAATAGAGCCTATTGTGTTTATGCAAATATACCGTTCACTGACAGCAATGTGGCAAACAGTGTGTGCTTTATTTCATTATACTGTTGCAGTATACGTCGCTGAATATAAGTGTAAGGTTGTTGTATTAATAAAAATGTATACCTAAGTGTGAAACACAAGAAACTGTCACAACGGATTGCACTAAGTGCAAGTGTTTGTCGATGTAGATCCATAGACTTGGTCAAAATTGGTCAATTTCTACAACACAGTTGACAGTGGGTATGTGACGTTCCCCTTCCAAGATCAATGAGCGCTTTGCACCAATTATACTGTGGCACTGTCACGCACGCGCATGTGTTGTGGAATACCTGAGAACAACCAGAAGCATATGCACTGCATGCACATATATCTGCGTAAATCTCTTGAATATTAATTTAATGTGGAATTATTAATTGACCTTCACCCTGTCTATTGTGGTTATTTGAAGACTGTACACATTGTCTACCATACTAAACTTATGCTGTATATGTGCCTTTGCGAGCCACTAAAGACTTTGAAACTATACAGCGCCACCAATGGCTGTTCTCATGACGATGTGGCCAGAGAGGAAATAGAAGTGAAAAACAAATACTACTATGCGGTTGGTCAGTTACTTCGGCCTGGGGGGGGGGGGGGGGGTCGGCAGATTTCATTTTGCCAGTTGTAAATCTCAGTTTACCCACCGCCTATCAAATAGAAAAAATTGAATCACTGCTTGAAATATATGTATAAACCACATGGGATCCATATAGAACAGAATGAAGTGCGGCGATTGTGGCAATATCAAGGCCATAAGTGTCATTTATTTTATATTCTGAAAACGTGGTGTAAACACAATTTGAAAATCGGCCTGTTATGAAAAATCAAATCAAATCAAACTGCCAGAATAGAGTACATACCAGACCAATATTATAAAATTTTTTTTACTGCGTGTATTAGTATTCAAGGTTTTGTTATAGGCTTTTGTGTTGATTTCATGTCCATGTGAAATGGTGATTGAACAATTGTATCCGTAAATATTAATTACTTTGTAGACGCAAAGAAGAGAGGGAATATTCAGAATTTCAAAAATACACAAAAAACATACTTGGAAACTTCGGATTATATATTTGATCCTCATTTCATATCTTCAGATTAGAACTTATTATCAGCAATATTAATATTATCGGAAAGAGAAGGAAGTTACATGTAATGCTCGGAGTATCATGATGGCCAAACCGAAACGAAGTTATCATCATATTAGTGTGTAGAGGGCGATGTTGTCAGTGACTCCATTTTGACGACACCGTGTGATTTGAAGTGGGTAAATTTTCACTGTCTTTATCATTAATTTTCAAGTATTCATCACTCACTAACGACCGATTTCCAATCGTAAGTATGCCGTCAACATTTTAATCGATAAAGTGGTCATATCGTATTTGAAGTTTTGAAATGTTTTCCGACGGAGTAATAAGACAATGACCTCTGTGACGTGACCTCGGCTTTGCATCACAGTCATCATGAAGTAGTGCAGGCTTTTATCGGTTATAAGATCATTTCAGAAATATTTTTCTCGGTTTACACGCTGTAAGACGGTATCTACATTTCTGAAATAAGTATATAACTCATAACAAAGCAAGCACTACTTCACGCGTGTCTGTGGCTTTTCAGACTTTGTAGACTAGGGCAGAGGCCGACGATCTATTCATGTGGTTGGTTACTGAATTGAATTCAATACATGGACGACTATGGGGCGAAACCAATATGCTCGGATGCAGTACCTTATCGTCGCTCAATATAATGCAAATTATAGAATCGACACAGTTTGATAATGTAATGCAAGCATATCTTATTACATTTATTGGCACAGTTCCAGAAGGGCTCATACCACTAATTGAATTTCCATAGACGACAATGTGAACATATGACGAGATTGCTATAAGAAAATGATGAAGAAAGTTGAAAACATGGCTCAAAAATGGGGTATCAACATGCCAGTAATCAACCATATGAAAAAAATTAACATGTTGGCCAGCTCAAACTCTTGCAAATCTCAGGTAAACAAGACACACCTACTGTATTTCGATTGCATCAAGAGAAATCACTGGAAAAACACCAAGATTAGAAACCCACAGGTACACAGCCGCAAAGTAGTAAACAAAAGACCACATGTTGGTCTCACCTTTGACCCAGGTGATTACGCCCTCAAACAGGGAGCACCTCAGAAAAAAAATATTTAAAAAAATTCATTGGTTCTTGCAAGGCATTGGTTGATTAGTGGCATGAGACCTTAAGAGAAATAAGAAGGTTTAATAAAGTTCTAGTTGATCTTATATATGATGGAATATCATTAGACAAGTAATTTCCCATGCCAAAAAAATCCCCAAAATTTAAACCCTGGGAGTTATTTATCAAAATCTACCACTTGGTGGCGCCCTATACCCAGACAATTAGTTGTAGAAAGTGGCAACATACACACTCAGCATAACACCAAATTAGATGGTAGGCAATGAATATAAGCCTGATTATTAGATGCAGTACTGTAAAGTATAATGTTCTCATTCACCACAAACAAGTACAGACCAACGTTTGGCATGATTAGTAATTTTAATTAATTTCTAGAAATAATACATAGAATTATGACAATTAAAGATAGTTTATCACTATAATTAAAAAAAAAATTCTACTGTATCAAAAGTCAATTCATCAGCTTATTATTTCTCCAATTAATTAAAAACAAAAAAAACAATTCCACGGTATCTGCATTTAGGCTGGAGACTTGTGACGGGCAACCTTGGATATACCAAAACACAGTGGTTTGATTTACCATGGCCACACATGGAATTTGCTCAACATAAAAAGCTTAATCAAATCTTATGAGAAAAAAAGTAGTTCAAAGAAACAATTTTATGATTTAAAAATAAATAAAAATATACAAACCAGAAAAGGGTCTAAATATAAAATACTCATATTACACATCCCTGATCAAATTAAATTCAAATCAACAGCATTTCTGATTAATTGGGGGGGGGGGGGGGTTACAAGCACTGTTCAATAATAAACTCAAGATGGGATTAATTAGCTGACTATTCACAAACATTCTGAGAAAAGAGCAATAATTATGAAATTGAAAGAGTTGTAATACTTGGCTAATATACTGACAGTATGCAAATCTCTTGTCAAGATACACAACAACATTTTGAGAATTTATTTGAATATTTGGGATTTTGACCTCATTAAACTTTGAATAGGGTACATTAGAAATGACCGCACTACAAATTGTTAAGATTGTCTGCCATAATGTGAAAATAAGACAAAAA